ATAAACTTAGCAAAAGTTATACATAACATGACAGTATCAACTGAGATGCGAGGAACGAAACAGGACTAACATCTTCTATCTTCTGATTGCGAGGATTTCAAGAAAACTCGTTTGCAGAAGGCCCCGACAATCAAATCAGGTGGTCACCTGCCCCAGTGCTGGGAGTGCTACTAGAAATTCGCTGTCGTTCCTTGTTTGAAACTACACAAATTAAATTTGTAGCAATAAGCAGAGTCCCATGGGAATGATGCGACCTGCGCTCAAGTAAAACTATTCTCTTTTCCTCAAACCAATCCTTCCCTTGGACACCTGATGCGGATACGGGCGCTGATTATCAGCGCAACCAGAAGACGAGTCCTCTCCTTGAAATTTCGCTTTAAAAACAATAAAGCGTTTTAATTCATTATTTAAAAGTAATATTTTCTATTAATCTTTCTGCTAACGAAAATAAAAACCAAAATTTCAACTGGAAAATACTAGTGTGCTGTTTGGTGCAAAAGAAAAGTGCCAACGGAGTGCTGCGCTTTGCACGCATGTTAAATTGTTCTCTTTTTAAAAATTTCACTTCAAATAAATTTGTGCAGTTTAATTTACCTAAATTTTCCTCTCCAGGTATTTCCCGTCCCGCATTTCCCTATAATGTAATATATTTTTTAATAAATTATTTATTCAGTGCTTTCCCTTTATTTCTTTTTGCACCCGCTACATTTTTACCTTTTCCTCAGTCATTTCTACTCCTATCTAAGGAGATAATTGAAGAATTACTTCTAAATATTTCCTAATTTATTACTAAGCATTGATAGATTCATTGTAGTAGCATGTAGTTTTACTTCCAACTTGAAATTGATGGTTCTGTGCATCAGCAAGAAAGCAATTCATTTTTGCATGTGCCGAAAATCATTCTGGTCGCAAGCTGAGGCTGAGATAAAAAGGAGTAAAAGTTTGCTAAATTTTGTGGCCTTCGACAGAACTAAAAAGGCGGTAGATAGCTAATAGCCACTGCCAGCAAAATACCACTACGTGGGCTGCTTCTGCTTGCCTTCGTGTCTTCCCAGTAATAAATGGTAAGCAGTTCGCTGGCAGTATGAGGTATAAAAAAACCTAAGTTATAGGTGATGGGTTTATCACAGGAAATGCAAATATGAATATGTAAATCAAATTCCCTGTGTATGTTATGACATGTGACATATGTGATAATCCTTCAGATCGCTTATCATCTGATGCGTTGGTCCCCCCGATTTTTGCTCGAAATAGCATCAGCAACACGGCGGGCTGACTCGCAGCGATAATAGCGAAATGGCGCAGATAACAGATGGCAGCAAGCAGTGGAGAGGGGTGGTGGGCTCGCTGGGAATGCTGGAGGCCCCCATAAATTTAGCCATCGAAATGAGCACCTTTCCGATTTAATGGCCTTTTCGTGTCCATTACTTTGTAGAGACGATGAGCAACGAGGAAGAGGAGGAGTACTGTACAACGAACGAACGAGCAGGCCCAATTAACGACCGCACAACGATTATCCGGGATTTAAGGAGCACTGCCGCTTTACCCTCTCCACACATTCGCACTCCGCCAAATGAAAGTGACCAGCATACCGTGACATGTGGCTAGTTCACGTGGTTTGCAAGTGCATACCTAGATGAAGGACCACGAAGAGCTCTTCTGGATGGTAGGATATGGTACGATATGAGTTATTTAGTTAATTGGTACTTTAGTTATAAAATTATAATAAATCGTTTCTTAAGTGATAAAGAAGAAAAGACTAATTAGGGTAAAGAGCAAAAAAATTTTCTGGTCACAGCGCAGATTTTAGCCACAATGCAAGCGATATTTATTGATAACATCTTATCAAATTTCTGTTTCTGATGTATTTTTTCAAAAGGTCTATAAGTAGTCTTAAACAAAGTATGTCGTCTCTGCTTTGTCGTGTACATACCCCGAAAATTGAACCTACAACGTTACTCAGAAAGGTCCCATAAAGGTACAGAATTAATGCTGAATCGATGTCTTTATTATACTACAAAAAAGTCCAGGACAAAGAATCTCTTCATCAGAAGTACCACCAGTGGAACTGGATTACCGCCACTATTCAGGAACCAGAACGAAAGACAGTACCATTGTCCATCTTATCACTACCATTTTAATCTGAAGAAACCAGACATGTAGGATGCGATCATAACTTTTTAAATTTCCGAATTTAAAAGTCAAAAAGCATCCCTCCTTAGAAACGACAACAATCAAGTTTATATAATTAAGTAGTTTATGCGGTAAAATTTTAGATGAAGAAAAGCAAAGACAAATTGTGATAATTTGTCAGATCCAGAACTCTCTATATGTAATAAAGTGATTACAAATAGTTGACCTGATTATCAAGTGAAACGCATCCCGTAATAAATGGTTCCAA